TCCAAAATTTATAAAGAACTTGAACAACTCAATACAAAAAAAAATCCATTTGTCTCTGCCTTCCCCCTATTTAAGACAAATGTATTTAAAAAGTAAATAAATTAATTAAAAAAAAAATCCAAATAAAAAATGGGCAAAGGACCTGAATAGCCATTTCTCCAAAGAGAACATACAAATGGCCAATAGACACATGAATTGATGTTCAACATCACTAATCATCACAAGTTGTTAAAACAAATTAAAACCACAACGAGATAACACCTTACACCAGTCTGAATAGTGATTATTAATCAACAAACAAGTGCGAGCGAGGATGTGGAGAACCGGGAACATTCGTGTACTGTTGGTGGGAATGCAGGTTGGTGCAGCCACTGTGGAAAGCAGTATGGAGATACCTCAGAAAATTAAAAATGAAACTGACTTATGACCCAGTGATTCCACTTTTGGAAATATATTCAAAGAAACCTGAAACACTGATTCAAAAGATATATGCACCCCTATCTTGACTGCAGCGCTATTTACAATGCCCAAGATATGAAAATACCTCAGGTGCCCATCAGTAGACGAATGGATAAAAAAGGGTAAATTTATGTAATGGAATAGTACTCAGCCATTAAAAAGGAGGGAATTTTACTTTTTGCAGTATCTTGGATGGACCTGGAGAGTATTATGCTAAGTGAAATTAGCCAGTCAGAGAAAGACAAATACCATCTAATTTAACTTATATGTGGAATCTAATAAATAAACAAAATAGAAACAGAATCATAGATACAGAGAAAAGACTGACAGAGGAGAGGGGGGCTGGCTAAAACAGGAGAAGGGATTAAGAAGAAAAAACAGACAACCCAAAACACCTCACAGACACAGACAAAAGATTGTGATTACTGGAGGGAAGGGGTTTGGGGAAGGAAGGAGAAAGTGAAGGATGACTAAATGGTGATAGAAGGAGACTAGACTTTTGGTAGTGAACACACAATACAATATACAGCCAATGTATTATAGAATCGTATACCTAAAACCTATATAATGTTATTAACCAACGTAACCCTAATAAATGAGATTAAAAATGGTTAATTTTCCCCTCCTGTAAAAGAGGCACCTGATGATACATTTTTGGCTCTTTATTGCCAGGACCCGCTGATATTTCTGGATATAAGGCCCAGGAAAGTTTTTGGGTTTCCCAAGATCGTGGCCCCCAGGAGTCTCCCACTTCTCCTATCCTCTCTCAGCCTCCAGTGACTCAGCGAAATGACCATTTCGGTGTTCTCGCTCACTTATGCTCCTGTCCAAGCCTGCTCCAGGAAAGCTGACCTCAGCTGTGGGTCTCTGTAGCCAGCTCTCTGCAATTTGGGTGGCTCTTTGCCTTGTGACCTCAGTTCTCTCTAGTGTCTCCAAGAAAAGTCACTAATTTTCAGTTTTTTCATCTAATTTTTCCCATTGTAGGCCCATCAGTGATGACTTCCGAGCTCTTTAGATGCAGGGACTGGATCTAGAAGGCTGCCATGCACTTTCTTTAAAAACCAACAATCTGATAATGTGCATTGATTCTCAAACAAAAAGATGGATATTGGTCCTTCCACTCCATTGAGTGTTGTTATGTTATTTTATTATAATTTTTATATTGACATGGAAACATAAATTTAAATCTAAATTCCATAGGTCTATAGTTTCTAACCAACTTTTGAAGTATAATGCATGTGTAAAGTAAATTTTAAAATCCTGTAAAAGTACTAAAAGTTGAATCAACAACATCAGTTTAAGATTTTCTGGGTGAACCAAAACATTTTTGATAGGCTTAGTGGAAGGAAGACACTGCTAAGTTCTGATACTATATTTAGTGTGTTTCTGTATTTTAACTTGAATAACACTTGCATAGGAAACTTCTATTGCCATATGGTTATACAGAATGTTATTGATAACATCAAGATTTTTCTCTTTTTCTATTTATAATCATCAAACAAAACCTCGCTAGGCTACAATTTTTTAATGTCAATTTTGATCAGGTATGATTTGGTAGTTATATAAATGCATTATATTCACACAGAAAAGTGTCTATTGCAACACTATTAAAATATATTTAAATCACTTTCTAGTTACTGCTTTGAGTTCAGAATATTAAAAGTATCATCTTTGCAAATTTTTCACATAAAAATGTGGTATCATATACCTTGTAACTAATGGCCTGTTGCAATTTTAGGCACACAAACAGTATCTCCTCTTGAGCATAAGACACATCTCCCTTTGAGTTCACCCCGTCTGCTTTGACCACAGTGAGCCCTATGAGACTTGAGTGATTCCTCCTAACCCATTTCTCTATTTGATTGTAAAACTTTATTTGAACACCGGGAGTGATGTTACATAGCCTTCACCCTAAACACTCATGTCCACAGGCAACAAAAAAAAAAGTCATGGAGTCCCATGGCAGTAACTGATAGTAAAAGTCACTATCCAGATGACTTGGAATGCACTGATGTTTGCAGACCGTTTTTAATATAATTTCTGATAGAGGCCCCTGATAATATCACATATACTGATCTCAGATTGACAAAAATGTATATTTTGCCAAGATTTGAAATCAGGCATTACTGGGTTTGAATACCAGCTCCTATGACTCATACTTCTATTTTTCACCAGTTTGCCTAATATTTCTAAGCCTGAATTTCTTAATCAGGAAAATGACCTGGCAGAGTTATTGTGAAATTAAATGAAGCAGTGAATATAAACTCCCAACTTCTTGGACATTCCTTCTGTTCTTTCAATTAATCATTAGCTTGACTTGATATATTTTCTACCTGGTTTCCCTAGTAATGTATTTTACATATAGTAAGACTTAATAGATAATATTATATAATATAATGCATTATATGTTATTTATACACACACAAAGAAAGCTTTTTTAATGCATATTAGATTTTTGAAGAACGTGGAAGTAATCAGAGAAATAATTAACATTGTGAGAGTGAAGATATATGCATAGCAATATTACAGAGACATACTAGAAATATAGCCTACGCTGACAAAAATAAACCTCATTAGGCTAGAATTTTGGAATGTTGGTGTCTTAGCTTATTATTCCCAGTCTCACTTTTCTAATCACATAATGTCGACAGGGGTATTCAACTTTAAGGATTTTTTTTTAATTCTAGATTTTTAAAATACCCCAAGGAACCATATTGTATAAGATATATGTAAAATAAAGTGTGCATATATACAAACAATTATAAACAAAATAGAACAAGTTCTGATGTTAGTCTAAGTTCCTCTTCACCAAGAATTTGGTGATGCACTTAGTGTGGTTACGGAGCAGCTCAGCAGCCTTCCTGCATCTGCCTGGCTCCACCTCCGTGATCCTCTATGTAGTCTAAAGCCGCCCGACTGGAACTCTCACTGCTGGCTTCGGCGTCTCTGGTACTATTACTATTAGCCTTGCACTTGAAACCTATATAATTTCATTAAGCATTGTCACCCTCATACATTTAATTTTTGAAGAAAGTGTATGGGACTTGAAGTCAAGTGTTGGGATTTGAACTCTGGCCCAACAATTTGCAAGGGCAAACCACCTAACCTCTGAGTCTCAGATTCCTTATTACTGAAGTGAGGACACTAATAGCTCCTATCTCAAAAAATTGTTGTCAAAATAAATGAGAAACTACAGGTAAACTTACCTTGCGTTTCATGGGGAATCTAGCAAGTATTTTTTAAAAGAATCTACTATTAAAATGCCATGTGGATTTGAAAAAAAATGGAAGCAGAGGCATGGATACATGGAACAGACTGACAGCTGTCAGAGGGGAGGGGAGGTGGGAGGCTGGATGAAAGAAAGTGAAGGGTTTAAGCAAAAAAGCAAACCCCAAAACATATATGCATAACCCATGGGCACTGCCAACAGCGCGGGGAGAGCCAGAGAGAAAGGGAGCATGGGAATCGGTGGAGGTGGGCCAAGGTGGAGGGAATGGGGACAGAAGGAGACTGTGCCTGGGGCCCTGGGTGCACAGCACTGTGCAGGTGATGCTTTATTGAGTTGTGCACTTAAAACCTGTACGGTTTTGTGAACCAATGTCAATTAAAAAAAAAACAATTGAAATATTATCTCCCCCCCCCCCAAAAAAAGAGTGGCTACATGATACCGTTACTTTCTCTCTCAAGTGCAGTGCCCTGCTCCTTCCTGCCTCCTTTCTTCTGGGCACGTTGTCTTCTGAGAGAGAGAGTGTTTTGTGGTGCTCAAGGGTGTGGCAAGGTCAGTTTGGCCATTTATGGTAGAAAATATGATCGCTCCCTGTATAGAGCACCAAGAAGTACCCAATGGAATATAAACTAACACCTTTCCCCAGAATAATGAGATCTAAAAATGAGCTCATTAATGCAATGTATACTTTTTATGTTTGTCATAGTGGAACTTACTGAAGGTGATCAAACAAATAAGATGAAAAGTGTAAGCTCTCACAGGGTGGCAGGAAGTGAAAGACATTTCTTTCCTCTGACTCCCTGCCTGAGACCCTTTTCTCTGCTCTGCTTCTGAGGAAATAAGCAATTGGATTGGTGCTCAAAAGAGGTCTATCTGTGAGTAACGCTAAGGTCGGTACACATGCAGCGGAAGTGAGCATTATTAGATTGCTACTTTTACCTAGTGAACATCTATATCCTTTTCTTGTATGTTTTGCATTTGAAGCAAGAGATAAGGGATATAAGAGAAAAATTAAGAAAATCAATTCACACTTGGAATTATCCCTCAAACTTACCTAGTATGAAAGAGGGTATAATGAGAATCAGAAGATAGGTTGATAGAAGATAAGCGTATGAATGGATAGAAGGCATACACATCATAAGAAGGGAGAATTCATCTGCCTTTTATAATAACTCTTGTTTCTTTTTCATCTACTTCTCTTTTTCTTTTGTAATGTCCTATATAGGAAGAGGAATGAGTTATCTGACAAATTTAGATTTTGCAAACTTGTGCTTTGGTGAGAGTACTATTAAAATGCAATGTTAAGGAAGATTTACAACACTCAATGTGTCATTTCCTTTTTTCATGTATTAAATGCTGAAATACTATGTGATAAAGATTTTACACTCCAGTTGTGAAGAGTAGGAGGTGGATAAACCAGTTCAGCTGTCTTTAGGACAAACGGTAAAGTATTTTAATGTTTTTCTGAAATTGCTTCTATTAATTATATGTATCTAATCTGAATAATGTATGTGATGTGTGAGATATATATGTGTATATATGTGTATACATATTTATATATAAATGTATATCTATACAACATCAATAATCGATGATAGAATTTTTTATCCTATCACTAATAATTTGGTTTGATTGTTTCAATAATAAAAAATAGAAATTTTGCTTGGTTTTCCATGAATAAAAAATATATGTGTGTACATAGATATATATGAAATATACTAAATGCTTTATAGGTTAAACTGCTAAGAATTTTAGCATATAACTGTATATTTTATTGAAAAATATCAGCTTTATTCAAAATATAATTAAACATTTAATTAGTCACATTTCCTTAATTTTCACATTATACTTTTGGCTTTAACTTAATATCTTTTATTACCATTACATGTTTATATAGGAACTATTAATTGTGCATCTCTATATATATGCACTTCACTGAACTAGTTGTAGGGAAATATACAGTCAAAATATTGCCTTCAGGAAGTTCATGATTTAAGGTGAATATATAACTTGAACATCTTAATATAATAAATATATAATAATATAATATAATACATAAACATATAATTTGAATACCTTAACTAGTACAAAACTGTACAGACAACTACTATGAGGATATAAGAGAGGCCAAAAGAGAGAAAGGACTATTAAAAAAAAGCCTTCATGGATTTGTTAGACTTTAGTTTGTCTTGAAGAATGGGCAAAATTTATACAGCAAAAAATGGAGGTTGGAATTCTTGTTGGCCACATGAGACTAATGATAGAAGAGTTAGAGAACTGAGAATATAAATGTTTATGCAGGAGTCAGAAGCTGATATTCGGGAAATACACTGTCTACACACAAATCCAAGCTTTTCCACTCCCTAGCTCTATAACTTTAACTAGTTATTTAAACCTTTTAGGTCTAGGTTTCCTTGCCTTGTAAAATGGCAACAATACTGCTATATACTTCATGGAGCTCCCGTAAGGATACAACAGGAAAAGTTCAGATAAAAATAAATTGGTATCTTAGTCCTGGCTGGTGTGGCTCAATAAACTGAGTGCTGACCTGTGAACCAAAGGGTCACTGGTTCAAATCACAGTGGGGGCACAAGCCTGGGTTGCGGGCCAGGTTCCCAGCAGAGTGCACATGAGATGCAACCACACATTGATGTTTCTCTCTCTCTTTCTCCCTCCTTTCCCCTCTCTCTAAAAGTAAGTAAATGAATAAAATCTTAAAAAAAAAAGAAATTGGTAAAAGATGATTCACTTATTGATGGTTGTCTGTGTACCAGACAACTTAAAAATTATTTTAAATCCTCATAATAATTATTTAAATTGAAATTGTAATATATTTTACATACACATAGAAAGTGTAATAAAAGAAATTAAAATATTTGTCAAAGTTCACATAGTTTGGAAATGGCACAACCAGTACTGGAGCCTGGAGTTCAGGTCGGGATTGGTGCTCTGTCTCCCTCACACCCGAGGATGAGCGTCATGAGCACCAGGAGCGACGCCGTTGTTGCCATTTCTCACCTTACTCCCTTCTATGGACACATTTCTCAAGTGGAGAGCAATTGGTTTCACAAATATATACTTATTTTTATTTTATAATATTTTTTAACTGTTCATGCAAAACCAAAGTTCTTTAATCACAAATTACTCCAAATCTTAAAGATAAAGTTAACCTTGAGAGTTTGATGACAAATCTGAATAGAGAATAGTGTTAGAAGAAAGACTGTGCATAAAATATATATTGCATATAAAGGTTTATTTATATCTATATAAAGATCCCTTGGGTACATATGAGCAATTGATATGAATAAACAAAACCCAAGAAGAAAAATACATAATTCCATGGAAATACGTCTTCCAGACTAATAACAGAAAATACAAATAAAATCCACCTTGGGGTATTAATTTTTATCAAAATCAAAATGATTCTAAAGTAAGTATCATTACTGACTAGTGGTGAATTTGGTTTAAAACTGCCATACTCATGTTTTACTAGAATCTTTGTAAATTTTTTATGATCTTTGTAAACAACAATTAGGCAGTAGACACCAAGAAGTTTAAAATAGTTTTTCTGTTAACTGCTATTTCGATAGTTTGATGATAGTTAACATATGGTGAATTATCCTAAAGTAACATTTCAAAAGAAGACAGATAAATTATGAAAATAGTTACATTATCTGTATTAGTAAATACTGCCCTCCAAAAGAGAGGGGAAAGTTTTTTAAAGCAGAATTACATTATAGAAAAATGGCTACATGAATAGCATTCATATATTTGATGAGATGTTAAGTAGCCCACAATTTTAAATTAAAAAATAATTTGAAGTATAAAAATATGAATAAGATCTTCAGGAAAATATATAAGATCAAAGGATAATGTCACTATGAATCAACAAACTAACATAGATATATAGGCACAAAGGCTCAAATTTTATATAAAAAATGAAAGTACTTTTCTTACATTAGAGCCAAGGATGATAGAAACTTTGCCCCAGTTTATCTCTAGTATTGTTACAATGTTCTTATAATAAAAACAGGAAAAACATAGAAGTTATGCGTCCAAACAAGATAACATTGAAATTCTTTCAAATGGTTTTCCTATTGTAGCTTCTGAAAACTTTTCACCCACTTTATTAAAAGCTGATATTGCAGAGATTTGTTTCACTTCTCATGAGAACATTCTTTTGATAGATGATACAAACTCAGAAGACTCCACAGTTCTTTGTCAGTACACTGACATTTGGTTGAAATTGTAGCTTTATGTGAAGTTGCTTTTTCTCTTAACTTTGGAAATGACATTTAAAGACACATTTGGATTGTGTAAATTGTTCACTGGCTGCTAACAACATTTTATATGAATATGTTCTTTAAAATTATTTAAAAATTACAATAATAATGCAAGTAGAGAACCAGAGTAATCTAGTAAGTCTAACGAATGCCTCTGAGGCAAAATGGGAAGTTTGGGGTTTCGGTTTCCTATTTCCACACTATTCAGAGAAAACCTTTTTATTTTCCAGTGTATAAAAGGACTTTTAAAATTCCCACATTTGTTAAATACCAACTTTTCTTGAGGCATAACCCCATGTATAAAACCTAGTCATCTTGCAGAAAATACTGTCTTTCGTTTATTTGTGAAATTTCTTATAATTTATTTATGTATTTAATGGGCACTTACCAAGTGCCAGGAACTTTCTGGTCACTGAACCAAAGAGATAAAATCTCTTGAATCATGGATCTAACTTGGGTAAAAGCAGACAGACACTAGACATAATGAAAAAGAAAAAAAGTATTTCAAGTTAGATAGTGATATTATTTTGAGAAAAAACTTAAGCCAGGAAGGACTGCAGGAAGTAAAAGAGCTATGTTGTAATTTTACATCTGAGGTTCAGGAAATGCCCATGTAAGAAAGTGAGGTTTTAATCAGGGCCAGTGTGAGACAGGAAGGTGCCCACACATTTTGAGCAGTGAAGTGATAGGATCTGACTTGCTTGGTGAGAGGAGTGTCCTAGAGGTAGCGTGGAGAATAAATAAGTAGATAAAATACAAAGAGTAAGGGTGAAGTTGAAAGACCAGCTGAGAAAGATGATGAGGCACCAACCAGCATGGAGGTAGGGAAGGTGACGTAGATTGGATGTGGAATATGGGACGAGGAAGACCCCTAGCTTTGGGCCATTAAAAAATCCAAGTAGTAACATTGTTCAGCAATTGCATATGCAGGTCTGAAGTGAAGAGGAGCAGTCTGCACAACAGATACTGACGTAGGAGTCTTCAACCAGCCTTACAGTATGTATTTAACGCAACAAAGCTGATGAGAACACCAAAATGAATGAATAAAAATAGGAAGAGCACAAACACTGAGACTTGGCACAATCCAATGTTAATGAGTTAGAAGATGAGGAGGAATAAGCAGGGAAAAATGAAACTTCCCTCAATGTCCTGTCTTGGGACAATTGTCTCTTCTCCATAGAAAAGCATGAGCATGACCATATACTCAAGGCCCATCATTTATATATGTTTACTGTTTCTTGATCTCTCAAGAATCTGCTTCTGTCTCCACCATAAAGCAAAACCACTCAAATTCCATGTAGCAGGTTACAGTTGTCCTTGCATGCCTTGAAAGTCTTTTTTCTCTTCCATGACTCTATCTTCTTGCTCTACAGTAGTGTCAGAGGTTCTTCCTTACTTTTAATATTGATTCTTCTTCCTTTACTTGACCATTAAATATGTCAGTTCCCAAGTTTATGTCCTCCATATTTTTTTTCCCTGGAAAATATTTACTGTTTGATGTTTTTCTCCTATTCTTTGCTAAAGTGCTACATTTTGATGCTTGTTCATCAATTATTTTCATTTCCTTCTCTTTCTTAATACCCCTGGGATTCCCCCCTTTCATTGCCAGCTGCATTGCTACTACCCATGTTGCCTAGCTGGGGTAGAGAAATATGAGCTAAAATCAATAAAATGGAATAGAATGAAAGGAATGGCTCTGAGGAAGTCAAGAGTTGCTGTGCAATCAGAAATGGGTCTCATGGGTGAGCATGAATAGGAAGAAAGACGTGGCCTCCGGCAGAGGTGGCTCTGCTTTGTGGGTCTCTCTGTATTACCTTTACACCTGACTGTAGCCTCCGTGCCTCACTGCACAAAAAGTAGAAATAAATGATTATAATGAACAGATGACATAAACAGATGATATGCCAACACCAAAAAAATCTAAAAAAAAAAAAGGAAAATTAGGGCCATGTGGAAAATGTATCATTGTAGCTAGTTGTAGTATTAGAAGAACAATTCTGAGCTGGATCAAAAATGGCATTTGAGCTGGAAATATTTATATATAAATATATAAAAATATATGTATTTATATCATTGTCTGGTGATAATTTATAGATTTTAGTATCCCACAATAGTGCATAAGATCTTTCATGGTTGTATTCTATGTACATTGATGTTGGCATTCTAGTGACTTGCACAGTGCTTGATGCAATAGTATATAATAGGAATTTGTCGAACTGGCCTACATGAAGGGATAGGCATTTCCATCTTAAAGTTTATTGATTGAAAAACATGCTAATACTTACCACTTATTTTTTTCATGATGTGGCATCTGGCATTCTAGAGCCACCCAAAAGAAAGAAAAGAAAGGAAGGAAGGAAGGAAGGAAGGAAGGAAGGAAGGAAGGAAGGGAGGGAGGGAGGGAGGGAGGGAGGGAGGGAGGGAGAGAAAAGAGTGGAATTCTTTGTTTCTCCCAAGAAAAGGCCTTTAAGTTAAGAAGGCCCTGTGGGTTCTAAATTGCAAATTTATTGAAGAGTACATGTGGAGCCCTGGCTGGCGTGTCTCAGTGGATTGAGTGCCAGCCTGCCAACCAAAGGGTGGCTGGTTCAGTTCTCAGTCAGGGCACATGCCTGGGTTGTGGGCCAGGTCCCCAGGAGGGGGCACATGAGAAGCAACCACACATTGATGTTTTCCTCTTTCTCCCTCCTTTCCGCTTTCTAAAAATAAATAAAGAAAATCCTTAAAAAAAAAAAGTACATGTGGAGCTTCTGAGCAAGTATATGAATAAAAATAACATCCATTTTGATTTATTGAGGCCAAGGTTAGACCACTGTATTACCATTTTGGATTTGCTACTTTCTTTTCTCTTTAAAATAATAAAATATTTAAGTTTTCTGTAAGAAGTTTTCATATATGCTTTAACAAAGATTTACAGTGTGTATATATTTAAAGGGTTAATAACACAGGCAGTGATTTGAGAAATATCCCAAAAAACAACTTGTGAAATCTGTATTGCTGAAGCACATGGTAAATCCCCATTTTTCCATGTTAACAGTCTAATTGCTTGAGGCAAATATTGCAGAGAGAGAGTTTCTAACTTTCCATCCGCAGTGGGGGTACATACTGAAGAGTGGTTCTCAAAAAGGAATGGGTGTTTGGAAGTGTGTAGGGATGAAGCTTTGAGATTTTGTGCAGGCAGGAAACAGGGGTATAATGATTAAGAGACATTATTAACATTTAGTGGGTGGCAGCTGGGAGTGATAAACATTCTGTACAACTAAGACAGTCCTTTGCAAAAAAGAATTGTCCCAACCTAAACACTCGTAATGTTCTCCTGAGAACTCCCATGAGCCATAGCTAGTTGCCAGTTGACCTGACAAAGGGAAAGTGAATGCTGATTGAAAACAGGCTAGAGTGAGTGGCAGTGTCTCAACAGTATAACATAGTCACCAGCCCCCAAATTTGGTTTGTGTTCAAGGAAGCTATGAAAAGAATGAGTGCAGAATAGGAAAAAAGAAAAGCCTGAGTTAAGGACAAAACTTAGTAAGAAACTCCCTTACTAAGGAAAGAAGCACACCTTTTTGGTCTCCCTACCTCCAAACATCTGTTTTGTTTAAAAACTAAAACCAAAACCAAAATAATGTATTAGACTAATATCTTCGAAAACATAAACCAGTTCATTCAATAAATGTTTATTAAGTATATTTTACATTCCAGTTTGCTTTATGCTCTGCTAATAAATATTTAATGAAATAAGATATAGTCCCTCCTCTTATATAACTCATAGTCTAGAGAGATTTATCAGACTCAAAAGGGTTTGTTTTTTTTTATAAAAATAATCCCGTCTAGAAGATTGAGTAATATAACAGATGTTTACTTAGTATTTAAGTGAAAATGGAGTCATACTAACTCAAATATTAAGACCAAAGCCATAGTCAAACCCATTGAGAAGGGCCAGTCAGCAGCCAGAAAAAAGAGATTTCTAGTTACGTATCACATATATCTAAATGCATACTTAGCAAGCCCATCTTTTATAAACTTAGTTCAAAGTTAAAAAGCTTTGCCACATAGTCCTCATTGCTTTGAACCATAGTTTTAAAAATTAATTTTTCTAAGTTTTATTGTTATCTCAGTTTTTAAAATGATTTGTTCATTTGTTTTGCTTGGCAAATGAAACCATCATTCAATTCAAATAACAGAGTGAATGTAAAAGGGGTAGATGTTAAGGAGTCTGGATCTGAATGTTCCAATTTGGTTTCCTATCATGATCAATTTTCCCAGGTAATTTCTTTTATTTTGCCTCTACTTAAGAGGAAAGGATGTAGATTTTATCCCTTCCCTCTCCCATTCCTTCCTCCACAGTGTCCAAATCATTTAAGAATATACTCCTTGGTCAGATCAACAGGATTTTAAGGAAATTAAGGCCTATTCACAGAATGATGCATGAACAAAGATTGTTGCTACAAACTGCAATATAAAAAAATCTCCTTGGTAATATATTAAAAAAAAATCCACAGGCACTGAGATACTTGTCAACACCCCTCCCCAAAATAGGATGAACGTTTGTAAGTGAATGACTGTCTTCATTTCCTGGATGAGCTATGAATTCGGTGTGCTGGAAGCTGCCACTACACTCTCTCAATTCACCTTAGTCAGCTGTGCTAAATCCACAGCTCAGCATTAAAGAACATAAGAAGTGCCGAGAAGATGTTGGTATTCTAAGTTTTTCAGTCAAATGAACTGAATTGTTTCTAAGAAAATGTCATAAAATTTCTTTTCATGGAAAATGTTCTTAAGACGTGGGTTCTCATGTTAGAAGCTGCCATATTTCTTGAGAACTTGGTGGAATTGCAAATTCTTGACTCTCCCATCCCAGCTATTGAAAATTTTGGGGATAAGGGCCATCAATCTGTTTTGTAATCAAGTCTGTCAAATGATTCTGAAGCAACTTAAAGAGATACAGGCATAGATTGTATCAAAGTATAGATTGTGCTTCAAAAGATGTAAGGACATATTTGTGATGTTGCCAATGTATAATGAGGAGTCCTGAAAAACAAATAAATAAATACAAGTAAGAAAAGAAAAAACTGAGCTTTTCCTGTAATTCCTAATCTAGTGACTCGATTCTGTCTTTCACAAGTGATAAACAGATGCCTTAGCACAGTAGAAACTGGCTCATGAAGATTGGATAAAAGATCACAGGAAATATTTCCTTCAAATTTTACACAACTCTTTGTTCTAAAGGAAATTATTGTTTTCTTTTCAGCAAAACATTTGTTTTCTATCACTTGGAAAAATATTGTTAATAGCTAAAAATTAAAAAGTACCTCTCTAAAAAAACACACACATGCAAACACAGATACACATTTGTACCTGGAGAGAGAGATGGATAGTTTCTATATACATCTGTCTTTTACTGTTAGAATGAAAATTTACAGGTAGGTATTACTATAATATGTCGATACATATGGTAGATATGTAAATTCAGATGTTTTCTTGCTCAAATTAAATTTTAATTATAAAATTCATTTGGAAACATTGGACCAAAGGGTCTAAGCCATTTTATGTATACTTAATATATTTTTCCATGTGTTTGACAGAAGTATGGCAGAGTGGGATAGCTTTCCTAATGAGCTGGAGGACAGGGACAGCTGCTCAGAGTCTGTGAAGTTTGATGCTCGATCAATGACAGCTTTGCTACCTCTGAGTAAGTAGGAGAAGGGTGGGAAACCCAGGGATGTTGTCCTTGGAGTTCTTGACATTATGTAAAACTACAGTCTTGAGACTCATTTTAAATGTGTATGAATGTCAAAATAATACTTAGCAGACAAATAGGCCTTTCTCTTTCTTGAGGGAGAATACAACATAAGCTTAATTGAAGTAAGGAAACATTACAATTGATTAAATTAACCCACGATGTTAACTGGGTTCTCTGATTTCCCAGACGCTGGACCAGGTCCTGGAGATGACTATCATCCTAGCACCATGAATTAGTATTTGAAAATCATGGGTGGTAGGTGTTTGTATTAGTTTCCTAGGGCTGACATAACCCATGATCACAAAACGAGTGGCTTAAAACAACAGACATTTATTCTCTCACACTTCCGAAGGCCAGAAGTCTGAAGTCAAAGTGTCAACAAGGCCACGCTCCCTTTGAAGGCCTAGGTTAAGAATTCTTTCTTGCCTTTTTCTAGCTTCTAGTGGCTCCTGGTAATCCTTAGCACCACACCTGGTTTGTAACGCCACCTTCATATGGTCTTCTCCCCTGGTGTCTTTATGTCCTCTTCGCATAGGACATCAGTCACTGGGTTAGGGCCCATCCTAATCCAGTATGACCTCATTTTAACTTGATTATCTCTATCTACAAAAACCCTATTTCCAAATAAGTTCACATTCACAGATACCCAGTGTTTTCAACGATATCTTTTTGAGAAACACAATTCGGTATATAACAGTGCTGAAACAGATGATTGTACAGGTTACCAGAAGACCTCAGAATAAGTAGTGTTTGGCTTTTTCTGGATAGGCCCTTTTAAGGTGTCAAGACAGAGGTGCTTTAATTCCACTAAGGCCTTAAGTACATTTTACCAGAGGATGGGGTGGGTGGGGAAGAAGTCATAGAGATACTTCAGTGAGAGGAAGCAGCAAATGCAAAGTTACAGGATCTTGCATGAATTCTTACATAGTAAAACCTGATATACCACAACTCCAAGGCATGATGGATCTTGTGTGCTGTGTTAACAACAGATGGGAGGATGTGGCACCAATGAGACAAGGAAAAAAAGGTAATAGAAAAAGCTTTTACAGGTGAAGATGTTGAGAGATTGAGGAAGGAGAACAGAGTCATTGAGAACAGAAAAAAAAGGCAAAAACACAAACACACAATTTTTTAGAGCTTTTAAAAGTCAGCATACAGAAGATTTGTGATTGTGAATTGAGGATAAAAGAGAAGAGGACTCAGGGTTTCAGGCTTAGTCAATCTGGCAGGTGGAATATCCCATCTTGCTAGTATTGTGGGTGGTTCTTTTTCTTTTTCCTTTGATCTTTTCTTGTTTTTTTTCCTTCTCTTTGTTGTCGTTTCTTTACTTCTTAAAAAATTTCTCTCCTTTTCCCTTTATTTCCTCATAGAATATTATTAAATAATGTCTGAACTCTTGTCTTTAATTTTGGGGTTTACTTGAGGAATTTTATTTTCACCCAGAATATATTCCCATATGAAACAGAAGGATAAATTTGTTCACATATGCTGGTATTAATATAAAAATTTATCAGCTAATGTCCCCAAATAAGATGAGCACAAGATGTGGAGGAAGTCACTTTTCCATGGATGCCTAGGGAATGGATGAGTAAGTCAAATGTCCACAGTGAAACGTGTATTGGCTTAATCTGTGATTGTTCCTTTCGCTTCCTACTGAATAAACAAGGACCTATTTCTTTTTCCTTTTTTATTTCAGTAGGCTTGGTAGTAACAATATAACTGCAGATTACAAAAATTTAATGAAATAAGATTAAGTTTTCTAACTTAGGTTGGACTTTTGTTTTTTAGATTCTAAAAATGGCCCTACCCTTCATGAGAAACTGAAGTCCTTCAAAACTGCACTGATTGCCCTTTATCTCTTCGTGTTCGCAATTCTCATCCCTATCATTGGAATAGTGGCAGGTACAGTATTCTAGAGCTCTGAAACCCAGCTGCTCCTCATGTGGAGTAGTTACTATAGAAGCAAAAAGAAATGTTTGCTCTTTAGTATATGGAAGATTCATCAGGTAAATTTCATATGACAAAGTGTTCCTCAAATTTATTAAATGAAAAAAAGAACAGCGTTTTTAACTTTATTAAGTGAAGAGGTAGAAAAAATGAAGTAGAATAGAAAAATTATAGAGTAAGATAAAAATATAGCTGTGGAAAGAATTAGACATTTTCAAAAGTATATTATCATCTGAAGTCCTGTGGACGTCTAGCAGTGGGTCACTAAATTCATGATAAGTATCCTGGTTGCCAGTGTTAAAATATGAACATGATTATTTACATTAACAGTGTCAACAATATAAAAACAAGCCAATTGGTGAGGTAAAATTCTTCTACACCTAGTATTGAGGGCAGAAAGAAATACTCTTGTAAATATTCAAAAAGAAAATAATGGTCTACACTTTAGTAATATCTTTACAGTTTATAAGACTACATGTTTCGTACAGCCATTTTTTAAAGACATCTTTAGAAATAACCTGATAGTGTCCCCTCAAAGAAAAAAATCACGACACTTTACTTGGGTTCAGCATAATGCTTTCCAGGTATATGTATTTGAAGAGTCGAGCTGAAATTTGGGATAGCTCTGAGGGTTTCCACAGGGGTACCTTGCATATAACTCAGTCAAATCTATACGTATTAATCCTCTCAGTAGTGCTTTTGATGTATTTGTTTGGCATTTGAGTTTATATACCTTGTAGTTCTCCCTTTTCTATGACTGGCAAAATAGACATATGCTCTAATAAGAGATAGGCTGCAAGTAAGGTACATTTTTATGTGAATATGAATTAGCTTAACAAGAAATTGCTCCTAAACACAAGGGCAAACCTCCTCTGCTAAGAGACGATCTAAAGGAATATTCCCAGAAAAAGCCAAAATTCTGCTAAAGAAGACATGTTAATAAAACAACAACAGTAACAGCAGCTATTATTGTGAGCACTTACTATGTTCAGACATTGGGCTATACATTTCTCACTGAGCAGCGAGAAATGTATATTCATTACCTAAATACACCTCTGAGTCACCCCTGAGCAGACATGCCCTTGCCCTCATTATCCGCAGGAGGAAACTGAGACTGTCCAGCAGTGGAGCTGGAGCTTCCCACCCATTGCATTCAACTTCAAACATCGATGATCTACTCTCTCCTAGTGTAATTGGGTTTTTCGCATAAAATAAGCGTGAACAATTAAAACAAAATAGAGTTGCCATAATTTTAGCCAGGAAAATATGTTCCACAGGTAAACATCAGCTCCTATTTTGGCTATTAAAAACAAAAAAAAAAAGAAAGAAAACCGAACCATGACAAACTAAACCAGTCAGTCAGTCAAACCAACCGCAGTTACTTAAGTAAAAAAACCTGATGTATCTGTCATGAAATTAACTTCCTGATGTACTGAGATTGTCTTTATGTTGTTTATATACATACTTAGCTGTAGTTTGAAAGGCATAACTGAAAGATATGTTATTGTTTATGGTTATTAGCTATAAGCCTGTTATAATTTGGGTAAATTCCATCCCCTTTATATAAACCATAGTCTGCAGAGCCAGCCCAAGAGTGCAGCTTCTTTCTAATAGGCTGTGCAAAATGTCTGTAAAGAATTTGGGGCTCTAACCAAGTTCAAAATCTCTCAGCTATTAGAAAATACTACCAAGTCAACACATTTGTTTCAGATTGACAGTGATTGATCTGAAGAGGTTTTGCTTACTAAAACTAAAACAGGTATCCATGAAGGCTGACAAGAAGTTAAAAATGTTCAAATCAAGTAAGTTCATGTTAGTACCCAAATCCATCACAGTTTGAAATAGATCTTACTGTGTCTATTACACTTGAATAATAAACAACTGACAGTCCATTTACAACTTTAAGTTATAGATCAGAATATTTTCCTGAAAAGGAACTAAAATTCAATGCATAATCACTACTTGATATCAAAAAATTGCAATTATAGACAAAATATATCCCTAAAATGATAGTAATCACATGGTTTTGGCAAATATGAACTGGTGGGTGAAGTAAAATGCTGTACACAAAAACTCTACTTAAATGTCATATTCAGAGAAAGATATTTCTGAGTTATAAAACCTACTCCATATACTCTTTTCCTAAAGAAGCTACTGGGTCACTGGTGTAGTATAACAACAGAATTATGTCTCTGGACAATAAAGTATAGTTCAGTATTAATCTATATAAATTGTTACTGAAATACTAAAGATTCTTTGGCTCAATATAAGACAGATTTTTGAGATTTAATAGATTCTATAGATTTATAGGAGAAGATACTACCAGCATGAAAGAGTAATTGTGATCCATAGAATCAAATATTACTCTTTCCTTAGGTCTCTGCACAGGCCATAAAATCTTGTCTCTTTCAAATGTGAAAAAAAAAAGTAAAAAAAATGCCATCTCTCCAATGATAGTGAAAGGAATAAATACTTGAAAATAGGAACTTTGGCATTTTTTACCTAGATTTCTGGTACAGACTTAAACATTTTTAAAGAAAGTAAGGATCAACTTAGTTTTCATTCAGATTTTGGGAATATAACCACTGTTGTGTTTTTAAATCTATAAACAAAATGTTGCCTTTATTGTTAATTCATGTCAAAATTGATGTCAAATAAAGACCCTTGGTCATATGGATCTTTTGTTGTATCACGTCTCTTTTATACTGTGAAAAAGAGTTGCTTTACCCATATAAAGTAGAAATTGTTTCTGGTGTAAGTAAAATTATATGGGTGAACACTTTGCCTAGTAAAATAAAGCTCAGAGATTACTGTGCTCATTGCAATATCAAACCTCCCCTCAATTTTTGATATTACACAGTATTAATTTCCCCTAGTTATTAATGTGCATATAGATATCTAAGTCACAGATAGAGAATCCAAAACATTAAAAATAACAAAAAAGCTGAAACTTATCAAATGCTTATTATATGCCAGAAAGCATTTTAAGCACATTACACATATTAGCTCTTTTCATTATTTAAACACTGACTATTATTATTCCATTTATATGGAAGTGAAATAGAAACATTGACAGATTAACTTTCCCAAGGTACAATTTATAAAGGGAAGAGCAAGAATTGCTAACAAAGGCTGTTCTAATCCAGAACCTGGAATCCTTTTTTTTTTTTTTAATTTTATATATTTATTTTTAGAGAGAGAGGAAGGGAGGGGGGAAGAGAGGGAGAGAAACATTGATGTGAGAGAGAAACATTGATCTATTGTCTCTTGCGTGCACCCCAACTCCCAAACTTGGGACTGAACCTGCAATACAGGCACATGCCCTGACCAAGAATCCAACCAGTGACCTTTCTCTTTGCAGGATGACACCCAACCAACTGAACCACACCAGTCAGGGCAGAACCTGGATTCTTAACTAAAAAAAGGAATAATCATCATAAAAGGAAATTTTTTAAGGAACAACTCTGAGTTTCAGTTGGTCTTCTTTTTGGAGTTACTCAAACATGCTTTATATTTAGTAGATGCTTAATAAATAAATCATATAACTGATGAATGCATGAATGAGGCTCTCAGTCCAAAAGTGGCTCCCCATGCTTAATTTAATAAATATGATAAGACCCTACTAAGAAATATAATTTTTGTCCAGTTTGTTGATAAATTAAGTATAGAATAATGCACACTTAAAATGTTCTCTGTTGTGGATCATTTCAAAATGTGGTCACACATGTTTTATAAAGTCAAATAAGCTAATTTTAAAGATAATGTAGGGAAATATGACAAAATATGTTTCTTTTCAAATTGAGATTTAATTGCATATAGTTTAATACTTATTCTTAATATAATAGTGTCTACAACAGCAACCATCATCAATGGCTCCTTTCAGTAAAGGTGGTAAATGTTTTCTCTGTAACTAAGATAACCTCTTTCCTGATTAAGGCACTTAAATTTGAATAGAATGTTTATGTGTGTCATCTGGGTGCCACGGGGTTTGCATACTTTATCTTATTCCTCCTCAGCACCACTGTTGAGACAGTTATTATTTGCAGATCTCTGAGGGGACCTAAGCAAGGAGAAGATAAGTAACTTGCCCAGAGTGCCCCGGCTAAGAGTGGGCAGTAGAGCTAGAGTCCAGAGCCAGGCAGCTGGCTCCTGTGTGAGCGCCAAGGGCTCATTTTTATAACAGGTACCCTGAGCTAATGGTGGAAACTAAATGCTTTTTTTTTCCATATGTTATCTCATTTAATTCTTAAAAATATTAAGCTGGTATTATTGCTATATCATTTTTTACTCAGAAAACTGACAGTTCAGGTATAGCTGATTTGTAGATATATTTTTAACTACAAATATATGAAGTTATTCTTATCATTGCATAATGGTAAACTATAAAAAGTATATACATTTAAACAAATATGAATAAGTGACTGATATAGATAGATAGATAGATAGATAGATAGATAGATAGAAAGAAGGTATAAATAATAAAGGTGGATATATGGGAAGACAACAAAATCTTAACCATTCATTGGTTAGTGGTAAAATAGTGTTTAATGTTTTCTTTATTGTGTATAATTATGTATTATTTTTATCAGCAAAGTTAATGTTTATTCTTTTCATTTTTTGAAACTGTAAACATATTGTTCTAGATCCTCTCAGAAGGATAATTAGCTTGTTTCGAGAATGTGTGTCTAGCTGGAAATATATATCAGCAGCTCTGTATTCCCATACCACTTAATAGAATTTTTTTCTTCAGGAAATAATTACTCACAAGGTTGTTTATCAAAACATTGAATATATTAGTGAGAACACAAACAAACTAATGTAAGGTGTTTGTTACATAAATTTGGTAGATCTATATGTAGAATACAATGTAGTTATTAAAATTCTTTTTATAAAACAATTCTAAGTTATATGCAAAAGTCTTTATAATATGGTATTAATTTAAAATATCTTCCAGATTATATATACAATATAAGCTTGCCTTTATAATAATAATATGATAGTGAAAACAGATTTGATATATGTATACCAAACTGTTAGCATTTAACTTGGGATGGAGATTTTAATGGTAAATTATATTTCCTTATTATTGTTTTCTAAATTTTCTACTATGAATATAAATTTTATAGTATACAAAGAGGAATCATAAAAATAATACTTTCTAAAATAAGAATATTATTTGCCCAATTTTTTTGCTCCACCAACTATAAATTAGGCCTATGTAAACTGAACAAGTCAGTTCTCTGCCAGCTTAACGATAGGATGAGAAAGAGGAACCAAATAATTTATTCATACAGTAGATAACGCTAGTACTTCTACTTTTACTACATATTTTGTCATCATCATCATTTATCTTGATAATAACTAATATATTCAACATGCTAACTTCAGACAGTCTGTAAAACTCATTTTATCCTAACAACAGACCTGAAGAGTAGGATGCATGCACCTTATAATCTCTCCTATTGGGAAAGTCAAATGCCATGGTCCAAAAGATTCTTATAAGCAGCACTTCAGGAAGAATGGCTTAATCCTGGAATAAATTCTAATGTAGAGTGGGAAGAGGAGACTGTCACCCTCTCAGCAATATGCCTTCTGTGTGGTTCATACATTGTCTATTTAAAATAAATACCTGATTTAGGAAAGCAGTCAAAATGTTAGAATGGAATGGAAAGGCGTGATATGGAATGGAATGGTACAGAATGCATTTCAGGAGACAGACCATGACTCTGCTTATTTTTGCTTAAATATGCAGCTCAGGTCCTAAAGTGGGAATGGAAGAATTGCACAGCTGGTTCGATTAATGTCAATGATACACCTCAGCATCTCAGTGGAAAAGGAAATGATAGTGAAGACATAAAGTTTCGAGAAGTTGTCACAGAAAACATGAGCAAAATGGAGAAGAGAATCCAGTATATTTCAGACACACAAGCCAATCTCATAGATTCAGAGCATTTCCAAAATTTCAGTGTGATGACTGATCAAAGATTTAATGATGTTCTTGCCCAGCTGAGTACCGTGGTTTCCTCAGTCCAGGAACATGGAAATGAAATAGATGAAATCTCCAAGTCATTAATAAGTCTGAATACTACATTGCTTGCTTTGCAGCTCAGTATTGAAACAGTGAATGGCAAAGTCCAGGAGAGTAAAATTAAACAACAAGAGGTAAGAGCTTTTGTATTGGAAGGTCACATGCTGACACTGAATTCATTTAGATCCTATCCCTTCTGACAAACAGGAAGACACATTGCAAATCCTGTTTGAACATCATCCTACCTACCTTGATTCCTTTGGTAATCTTACCAGGTCTCAAATAGATTTACCTAGTTCCTTTTCCTTTTTCCCCATTGGATATGGTCTCTCTTAAGGTATATTCTATAAAAAACAAACATGACTAAAACTTCAACACTTTTGAAAAATAATCTTCATATTGTAAAACATATAAGACCCAAGATTATAATTACTATGAAGCCTATAAAATTTCCATCATTAGCTTAAAAATATGGTGTCTCTTAGTAGGTTTTACTTGATAGACCCATTCTTAATTAATGAGCAAAGCAAAGATTGCTTAATTATAATGCAAAGAGAAGCCTCTAAAGTTACATCAGATTAAAACCAACTAAATTATTAACCAGAGAATAGACTGAACAAGTTAATAAAGAATATCCTACACATTTATTATTTGTAAGGTGCAATTGCTCAGAACTTTTGAGTTTTTACTTGGTCCCCGTCTTAAGGTGTCAGAAGACAATGGCATTGCTTTTTAAATGTGGGGATTCTGTGAACCTCATTCCAAAACCAACCTTAATATTCTGTTTCTTTTCCATGTCATATTTTCCAAAATCTGACTGTTGATGTTTTCTACATTGTTAATAAGTATCTAAGCCTATCAAATAGTATCGGAATACTGGGCCATGAGAGGTTAGAGACAATGCACAAAGAAGAAACTGTCCACAGGATTGAAGAATATTGGAGACAGAGGAAAAGAAAATGTCCTTTTTTTGGAGTAATAGTGATTAAGTTGGAGGAAAAGAGGGAGGATCAGAGAAGCAGTGAAACAGGGTGAAGAGAGAGAAAAGCTAAAACACATGGAACAACAAGGACATATTTGATATCGGCCCAAAGCCAGCAGAGACTATTGAATATTTATGAACCCACATAAATGAGGAGTTGAAACCAAATTGGAAATGTGATAATGAATGAAAATAATCAAAATCTGGTAATAGTGACCTATTTGAGTTCGGATCGATTACACTTGTGTTTTGGAACACAGAAATATGTTTTACAAACATCTATGTTCACTATTCATTTTTACCATATTGTATGGAGAAATGCCAAATAGTCAGCGCAGGAGGAGAGAGAAGGCAGAGATACCCTGATTTAGAACAAGTTTTTGGGTGAGGGAGGGCATGGGCCCAGCAGCGAAAACCAAAACGCCTCTGTGCTTGAGTAAGTGCCTTTGAAAAGGCAAATCTGGGTGAAGGTTCGTTTCTTGTCAAAGGTTTTACGCCCTCACTGCCTTGACTCTCTCACCTCCTCTTTCCCAGTCCAGTCAAGGACAGTGTGGTTTTCACTTCATACCTGGATTAAGCAACTAATGTACTACGGGTTCATCTCTATGTTGTGCAAATGGGAAATGAGACTCTCTCAACTGTTAAGCATAGAAGTACTTAGAAAAGTCTAAAGCTTACCATGAAAAGAGAACATGTGATAAAAGGGAGCACAAAGAAACAGAAAACATTGCCAGAATAGATGAACAGGTTTGCTCCATCAAAAAGAGAAGGGCCAACATCCAAAGGAGAAAGAGTTGAAAGAAAATGTAGGAAAGAAAAATATCATCAAAAACTTTGACCTGATAATTAGCCTTATCATAGCTCGAAAACCAAATGAAATAATAAGTATTATGTGTCTGCTCTTACTCTGCAAACTTTACTGGTGGTACATAGTGTTTGGGTTCAAAATGAAGTCACTAATGTGCAATTAGTAAGATTTTAAAATGGCATCATGTATTTGGAAGGCAGTGTTAGAGTACTGAACAAAAAATTTAATATTTAGTCTTTTGATCAGATTCACTTTCAGGAAGCTGTCTCACAGAAGCACCATGTAAACATATGTATAACATGTTCATTATAGCATTATTTGAAGTTGTAAAATATGTGTGGCTCAAAACTATCAATAGGAATCAAACAAATTATAAAATACACACAATATACATCCACTAAATTATTAAAAATAAGGCAGGATCTAGTATTTTAATAGATAAATATATTATTTTTTATGCTTAAAGTGAATTTATTTAATATTTAAATAAATACCTTTGGCCTTGGAAGGGGTCAAAGAACTATAAAAATGACCCACATCATACCATAGACTGCTCCATGCTGGGCACTTATACCTGGGGGTAGACCCAGGTTTTGAGGGACAATCCTTAAGAAAAAATAATATGAAATTATAAACAGAAAATGAGGCACAAAAATAAATATTTGGCATAAGGGGAAAAGCATAAAATTTTAACTTTTTTTAAAAGCTGAAAAATATGAACGTTATACAATGGAGAAATATTATATAATAGTTTACTTACTTACCTGACGCACCACTACGATATATTTTTTTTTCTATTTCATGTTTTGTAATTGAATTTATTGGCCTAACATCGGTTTGCAAAACCATACAGCTTTCAAGTGTATAACTCATTCGAACACCATCTGCCTCTTCCCCGTCCTTGGCCCACCTCCGCCTAGTCCTCGCCCCCTTTTCTCTCTGGCTTATCACCGCGCTGTTGTCTGTGTCTGTGTGCTGTGTATGTTTTATAGCTAATCCCTTCACCTGCTTTCATCCAGTCTCCGCTCCCTCCTCCCTCTATGCCAGTGTTTCTATTTCATTCTTCAGTTTATTTTGTTCATTAGATTCCCCATATAAGTGAGATAATATGCTATTTGTCTTCCTCTGACTGGCTTATTTCACTTAGCATAATAATCTCCAGGTCAATCCATGCTGTTGCAAAAGGTAAGATTTTCTTATTTTTCAGGGCCTCGTGGCATTCCATTGTGTAAATATACCACAGCTTTTTCATCCGCTCACTTACTGGTGGGCACTTGGGCTGTTTCCAGATTATTTACAGTATTATTGTAAATAATACTGCTATGAACATAAGGGTGCTTATGTGCTTTTAAATTAGTGTCTCAGGATTATTTAGACATATTCCTAGAAGTGGATTCACTGGGTCAAAAGGCAGTTCCATGTTTAATTCTGTGAGAAAACTCCATGCTGTTTCTCAGAGTGGCTGCACCTGTCTGCATTCTCCCCGACAGCTCCCTTTTCTCCCCATTCTCACCAGCACTAGTTTTTTGTAGATTTATTAATGACAGCGCATTGTGGTTTTAATTTGCATCTCTTTGATGGCTAGCGGATGTCAAGCAGTTTTTCAGATATCTATAGACTATCTGTATGTCCTCTTTGGAGAAGTGTCTATTCAGGTCCTTTGCCCATTTTTTAATTGGATTTCTGGTGTTGAGTTGTGTATATTCTTTATATACTTTGGGAATTAACCCCTTATCAGATGTATCATAGGGGAGTATGTTCTCCCATACAGTGGGTTCCCTTTTTCATTTTGTTGATGCTTTCTTTTGCCGTGCAGCTTTTCAGTTTGATGTAGTCCTATTTGTTTATTTTTTCCTTTGTTTCCCTTGCCCTAGGAGATATATCAGCACAAATATTGCTCTAAGAGGTGTCTGATATTTTACTGCCTATGTTTTTTTCTAGGATTTTTATGGTTTTGCAACTTACAGTTTAAGTCTTTTATCCATCCTGAGTTTATTCTTGTGTATGGTGTTAAGTTGGTGGTCTAGTTTTCATTTTTTTGCATGTACCTGTCCAATTTTCCTGACATCATCTATTAAAGAGACTATTTTTACTCCATTATATTCTCTTACCTCCTCTGTCAAATATTAATTGACCATAAAGCTGTGGGTTTCCTTCTAGGCTCTCTGTTCTGTTCCATTGATCTATACACCTGTTCTTATGCCAGTACTGAGCTATTTTGATTACAATGACCTTGCATTATAGTTTGATATCAAGTATTGCATATTCTTAATATATTATTGAGTAAAAAATAAAAGCACGTCACAGATCAAACAAGTGGGATATCTTTTGTTCACAGTCTCTCTATATATGCATGCAGGTATAAAAATGCACACAAAATATATATAATTATAATTGAAAACAAATAATGAGACCTCAAATACAGAGGCAATAAAAAAATAAAAGATATTGTTAATATGCTAGTTGAGATTGTATTGAATATGAAAAGCTATCCTGAATGTTAATTACCACTGAGAAATATGGCATTCAACTTTTTTATTGCTGTAAAACAATTTAATATTTAAATGTACCAAATTCACAGAATTGGAATACTATGTTTCTACTATAAGTATAGTATAAAAAGTTTATTTCAGATGAATTAAAAACTATATAATAAATTTTTAAAAATTATTTTATTAGCATTTTGACATCTTTATATTTAGGAATAGGAGAATAACTTAGATATATTCAACTAATTGGTTGGGGGCACTACAGAAGGTAAGAAATTTCAGCCATTCAGTCAAAGAGGAAATGCTTCAAAACCAGAGTTACTGTCTTAAAACATTTTTCTAATTTTTGTATTCTTATTCCATAATGTTCCTGTTATATTATGTGGAATTTTTTAACCTGGATTCCAGGGTTTCTTAAACTCACATATTTCATAAATAATTGTGTAACAAAAATTGCGGATGCTTGCTTATGTTTCACAGGAGATGAGTAAATTAGAAGAGCGTGTGTACAATGCATCAGCAGAAATTATGTCTATGAAAGAAAAATATGCACATTTGGAACAGGAAATAAAAGGGGAAGTGAAACTATTGAATAACATCACTAACGACCTCAGACTGAAAGATTGGGAACATTCACAGACACTGAAAAATATCAGTATAATTCAAGGTAAAATATCTTCTCATTCTTCCAGAAAATGACATATTAAAATGTACTTATGTACGCTGAGACTTGTTCTTCTAAATCCTATGACTTAAAATAGTTTTGAGCATATATTTACTACAGTTATCTAGAGGAAGAAACCTCCAGATCCTATTAAGACATGGTAAGATAACAATATCCTGGTGTCCTTGAAACAGAAAGAGATAACGTAAGATGAAATCTCCCTTAATGTCTAATGAGCCATTATTCCAAATATCCTGTATTACGAAACACCAAAAGAGGTTTTCTGTAAGGCACAAAGTTTTCTACCTGTTCGTAAATCAAGCTTGTTAATTGTCTTTTCCAAAACTTCCAGATCCTTTCTTATGTCTTACCCTATTTTATTATTAATTCAAAAGGACTTTGAATTCTCAAAAGAAAAACCCCAATGAATTTGTCAATTACTTTCTTGGTTGTTTGTAAAACAAGTTGATTTGCATATTACTGGTTTTTAAATTAATACACATATATATTTCACACTTGCTTCTATTTATTTACCTTTTTAGTTTTTTCCATACTTTCAACCTTTTGGTATCCTTTTGTTTAGGTTTGCCTCTTGTAAACAAGTTTCAGAAGACTATATATAGTACATTTCGTTTTCAGTACTCACAATTTCTTAAAATTAAATAATGTATATTTATAGATATATACATAGATAATGAGAATGATTGCTTTTAAAATGCAAGGAAATGAGGTACACAGAATTCATATTAATGTTTATCTCTGAAAAAAAAGTAGATGAATGAGACCTGTGAGTGCCTAGATAGATACCTATTTTTTGTGTTGTGATGTTGCAGGGATGTTTTCTTTATTATTGTGCTTTATAGCCTACTTATGTAGAACACATTGTATGTATCCTTTAATTATTACATTAAAACAAATGATAAAGACAAATTTGAATTAATCAGCTTCCTCACTTACAATCAGACAACCCCACTTTAGATTTCAAGTAAAGATCCCAAAATTTACAAATTCAAAACCAAACCCTTAACTCTTGACCATCCCGCACACATCTACCCCCAAATCTGTTGCTTCCCCAGTCTCATGGGGGAGCTGTACCATTGTCCAATTTGTTTCTCACTCCAACATCTTGAAAGCTATCTTTGACATTTCTCTTTCCCTCACTGCCTACATCCAATCCATCTGTGAGTCCTGTTAACTCTTCTTGCATTTAATATTTCTAATAAAACTCCTTTTCATTATCTCCTCTGCTTCTATTCTGATTTAAGCAACCGTATTCCAGTTTGATGTAATACATCAGCTTCCCAATTGTTCTCCCTGATTCTATTCTTGATCCATTCTACATAATGCAGAGAAAAAGAATGCTATCAAAAAATGTCATCAGATTTCTTCTCTCGCAAGCTGAAGACCCTCGATGTCTTCCTATTAGACAGGGAAGAAGATCTAGACTCTTACTTGGTCTGGCATCCATCCACTTATTTGCCCTCATTTTCTAATTGCCCCCCTGGCATTCCTCTGTTTGGCTTGGACATCTGAAAGAATGACGATGTTGCTATCCTCAATGTGCACTAGGTTCCTTCTCCCTGTCTTGAAATGTTCTTCTCTTACATCACCACTCCTTCTTGGTTCCATTAAAAACCATGTTTTTTAGAGATCATTTTTCCCTTGCACATTCTCATTCTTCTCCCCATCTGCATATCATCATTCGCTGTAACTTCCTGGAAGTACTTACTGCTACAGAGAATCATTTCCCATGTTCAGTTGCTTATTTGTTTACATGTATCTTCTCCAATGGAATGTGAGCTCTGGGAAGTGTGATCTCACCCCTCTTGAGTATCTGTCCATATGTAGGCCCTGTTAGGGCACCTGATATAGAGTGGGTGAGCAATTAAATGTGTGTTGAATGAATTAGTGAAACCAGTACTTTTGTTTCTTCTCATTCTTAGTACTTTCTTGTTAAGTTACACTTTGTAATTGGCAGTATCCTTCTTCCAGTTTTCCTGGATAGAAAATGTAATTGTTTTTATTCTTTCTCCCAAGGCTACCATTAGTTCTTATGTTCTATGATCTCTGTTCCCTTGTTACTTCTTTATATTCATGGGTGAGCCCTTTTTATCACTTCTCTGCCCAACTATTGAAATAGTCTTCCAATCATTTCCTGTCTCAACCTCTCCCACTATAATTCTTTCTGCATTCTTGTTAGAATGCAGCATTCCTGAAGGGAAACCTTCAGGATTGCAAAAAGCATTTTGTTGCCTCCCTATTAGACATATACTTCTCTCTTTGCCACTCAAGGTTTCTTTACTGTTTTTGAATACCTAATGCCCTTACTTTTCCCTTTTTGATACATAATAATTCAATTGACTTTACTGTGATTCTAACATACCAAATACTTTTTATGTCCTGCCTCACGTCTTTTCCTTCACTTGAAGTACCATCTTCCCTCTTCTCTTAATATCTAAAAGTATCTAGCAATCATTGCCCACCTAATATGTGACCTCTTACATGAAGCCTTCTCTGGTTCCACCACCGTAATAGTCTTGCTTACATTTATATCTGGTTTTATACTGAACATGAAGTATTTTTTTTCCACAGGAGAATTCTTAATATGGTTGTCATATCTGAAAGTATCTCATACTAATTTCTATTGAAATGTTACATCTTCTTGGAAACATTCAGTTCCTTAAAATGAGGGACTATTTTTATATTCTTTATAGCATCTAACCATAAAATGAACTTACAGTAAGTATTTATTAAACTATAACCCAGAGAGACATATTGTATAAATGGAGTCCTTTTCACTTGTGGGTTATAGGATCAATATTATTACTTTCTGTTCCTCCTTTTTATATTAGCAATTGCTAAATAACAGTTAAGATAAAATAGATAGATATTTTAATACATTTCTCAGATAATTTTCATAATTACAATCTAAAGGACTAAATTGTTGAAGCAGTAAAGCAGAGTTTGGTGGTGAGTTGGGGCAACATGATTTAAAGAAACAAAGTTGGTAAACATTGAGGAAGAACATTAAGAGACATAAAATATATGTCTCAGTGACAAAAAAGATAGCATTATGTTCATTTGGAAAATGTTTAATGTACTTTTCTAGTATCCAATATATATATTTCATGGTAAAGAAGAAGAATAAGCAATTGATGGTATTTAAATTTAGAGATTTGTGTGCAATTAATTTTTGGAATTAAAAAGTAGATTGTGTCTTTAGCCACTATGAATAAAACATATAATCATATAATCTCAGGAATAATGGAAGAATAGGTGTCAAAAATGAAGTCAATTAAGTTTGGAATAGTATAGCCTAGGATGTCAGGAAATAAGGTTCTAGTTCTTGTTTTACCCAATTAGCTTTAAGACCTTGAACAATTCACGCTCTCTGACCCTCTATAAGTATATTTGACTAAAGTCTTTAAGGCCTCTTCCAGGTTGAATCTAAGTCGGTAAGCATGAAAACTGGAAGAATACAAGAAAGGGGCAGGTTTAAGCAGGAAGAGCCTAGAATACCTGACAGATTTTTATGATGATCTAAACATGAGGCAAGATTGAGAACAAAGTAAAAAATGTATGATCATAATGAGTAGGACAAGAAGCATAGCTCTGTAAATGTAGGCAGATATTGTTAGTGCTATGTTATCATCTGAGCATTTTAAACAAAAATATGCTTGGATATGCTTTGCAGCAAACTGTATAATGCTAATCTATGATATTCATGATTACTGAGTATTCTAAATCAGTACATATCTGAGGCTATGTAGAAATCTGATTTTCTTTTTAAAAAATTATCATAGGGAAGGAGCTAGAGTGGATTTTGTATGCATGTTTTATAGAGATCTGTTCATGGAAAATTATTGCTATAGCATGTATGAGTTATTTCTCTAACTCCACAGTTAGGAGGTATTCAAGATGAAGAAAAAGTAGTGTGAATTCTTATGGCTTTTTGAACTAGAACAAATCGTCCATTTTGACCATTATTACTCTAGTTTCCTTTGATGTATGTTAGCAAGGGAGCTGACAGGTAACACTATTTCCATTTGATGCTCAGAGGTGGCTAGTGATGTGGCCAGGAAACAGAATTTTGAGAGGCTAAATAGTAATTCAAAACAAAGAAGGTGACTTCAATAGGCTCTTATTCTCCTAAGTTAAGGTTCTTGATTCTTTTTTCTATAACATTACAGAATAGATTGCTATATTTCTTTATGGTTCAGATGGAGATACATAATACATAAACCAGTAAGTCAATCAGATAGACAGATATAGGTATAGATTTTCTAAAAGCAGCCTGAAGGAAATCTGGGGTTGAAATGGAAATAATCCTCTCAGACCAGATTTAGAAGAAGTTCAGCCACAGTCCAGCTGCAGGGTGATGTGCTCGGTAACACCAGCGGGCACAGCGAGGAGAGCCCTTTCGGTAGGCAGCATGATAGCGTTATATTGACAATGTTCTCAAAAGTTCTGTGCCAGAAGCTAAGAGAAAAGGGATTTGCGTCTCTACTTCCATCTGCTCAAACTATCTAAGACACTAACAACATTTATGGAGATGCTTCTCACATTTTGGTCTTAGCAGTAGAAGGGAGGTAACAATGGCTAAAAATAAAACATAATATACTGACTGAGATTGATGTTATATGAAGAACAAAATAACAATAAAAAATTAACATCTAATATACCTAGTTAGAACTCTTTAAAGGAAACATTTTCCTGGTTCCCTTACTTTGATAGTCTGACACCTGGTATGAGGCTTTTTGTTCTTATTCTTGTTGTTTTAGAAATAACTTGATTATTCTTCAAATTATTTTTTTTCAGTTGCAGTTGACATTACATATTATATTAGCTTCAGGTGTACAGTATAGTGGTTAGACACTTACGTAACTTATAAAGTGATTCCCCCAATAAGTTTAGTACCCACCTGACAACTATACACAGGTACACATTCCTATATTCCCTAATGCTGTACTTTACATTTTTGTGACTATTTTGTAACTGCCAATTGGTATCAGTTTTTTTATACAAAAATAGGGGAATTTTTAACTCAGAATTTTATAAAATAACATGTATTTGTTATGGTTGCACTAATGCTCTAACACTAGAGCTGTATACAGTTACATATGTAGTTATATGCAAAATAACTGAAAGGCAATTAGTGATTATGAGTTTCATTTCTTACTTGCTAAAGACATGGCAAAAGCTGTTAATCTAGAGGCTAAGATCCTAGATCTAGTCTGTATGTCCCTAGTTCTGTCTCACACATTCTATTTTTTCCTGGAATGCCTGTGTCTTGCTTTAGAGCCTGAATTACTAAAGCAAAGTTTTTGCTTGTCTGCTTAAAAAAAAAACAAAAACAAAAAACAGAAAAACCACCATCCTTGGGTACTGTGAACTTGCTTCCCTTCAATTTGCTCAGTGAAACTCAGGCTGAAAACTGAGTCTTTCCTGTCTTGCTTGCTGCCTCCTTCATCTCTGTGCAGAGTCAGCTGCTATGTTCATGGTGTGGAAGTTAAACTCTCCTTGTTGGGAAGAGCATTTCACCTGGAATAGGAGATGCACACAGATTCCCACTGATATAGAACCACATTTCTTGTGCAACACCTAAATATATGTTTCCAACATTAAGCTATAGCTTAGGAGAATTAGCTAGTTAATACCCAGTAGTATATAGTTTACATGATAATTATGTGAAAACCTGTGCAACAAATAAAACAAACACACAAATACAGGAAAAATGTACTAGTTGTTCTCTTAAGATGACAGAATTATAAATTACATTTTTTCTCATGTCTTTTCTAGGCTTTTATATTTCCTATAATAGGTAGAGTTGTTTTTGTAATGAAAACACAATAAAACATTACTGTCCAATGTTGCATACACAGAGAAAGGGACAATGTACCATTGAGAAGAACAATGATATCTTAAAAATTGAGCAACCATGAAAGGAAGGTTCTAAAAACCCAAGTTAGAACTTAAAAAATGGAACAGATCAGAAGAATAGAGAGAAGCAGGGACAAGGACTCCCAAAGAAACAGAGAAAATGGATTGAATATACTTACTCATGAGACAATCTTTATTTATGTGGCCACCTCTTAGAATTCTTCAGTTGTTACATCTCCCAATCTAATTAGAATTTGTAAACAAACAGCTCTAACCAGTGAAGCTAAATATGGTTGTATGTTGTCCTTGGGCTACGTATGTGGCTGAACCACAGACGTTGAGGATGCCTCTTTTAAAACATTACTGTTCGATTATTCTATGATACAAACAAGTTTGTCTCTTCCTTTTGGAGCTGAAAAGAAAATTGTTTGCTGTAAATGTAGGGAATAATACTTGCCCTGTGCACTCTGTGTAGAAGAGGGAATACTCGTAGGACATCTTTAGGTTCTAAAGGCATGCTCAGTCCCATCATTCTAAAGAAGTGGCTGCATATCATGTAACTGTTTTGCTGGGAACATAAAATTCAAATGACTCAGTCAGGGTTGATCTAACTCAGTACTCAGAGACACCTGGGAAATTGTGAAGCCAAGTAGTCCAAATTTTCCCCGTAACCCCTTCAACTTGTTTTAGAATATCTATATCTATCTAGGGATTCTACTTAATATTTTACTTGAAAAAGGATTCCCTTACTCTTTTTCACCTGTTTGCCATTCCCTGCATCTCTCCCACTCACCCAGAATTCTTTTTCATCTCATTCTATGAAATGTTCAAAATACCCTTCAAATCCCACTCTCTCTAACAAAGTGTTTTCACATTGCTACTCACGCTGATCTGAATCTAACAAATAGATGAGTTTGTCACTTTCAAATATAGAGTTTTGGTTGTCTACTACATGTGGCTTAGTTTCCCTTGACGGTATCACTCATAAGTTATGTTTTACTTACACATTTTCCACATGGCATCAAACTCAATATAGTAAAACCTGCCCAGTAAGTGCGCAACACTAATGTGGGTTTGTGCCATCTTTGATTCAGTGTCTCTTCTCTGCCCCCAGGTTCTGGGAACCTAGAAAAGTTCTAGGGACACATAAATATTTATACACAATTAGGTTGTCTAATTTAGGACTATGCAATCCTTGTAAGTATAGGACATTGCACTACTCAATAACAGAGCATGCCTCTATTTGGGAAGATCAGTCATTCATTCTGTGTTATTATGTAACAAAAGACTTTCGTTTTACTTATACAATTGTCTTAACAAATGACAAATGCATTTTACTTCTGCTTTAAAACTATGATCAATAATTGTAATTTATTTTTTTAAAGGTCCCCCTGGACCCCCAGGTGAAAAAGGAGACAGAGGTCTCAATGGAGTACCTGGACCTCCAGGCAGTCAAGGCCCAGTGGGTACGGTAGTAGGAACTATTTATTCAAACTTACTCATACACTACAGGGCTATGTAATGCCCATCTATGTATGTGTGTAGGGGAAGGAGCTAGTTGATTATTTCCCTTTGGGAAGTGTGTGTGTGTGTGTGTGTGTGTGTGTGTGTGTGTATGTGTGTGTGTGTGTGAGTGTATGTGTGTGTGTGTGTGTTTGTGTGTGAGTGCACACGCGCGCGCATGGAGGGGCATATCGCGCGCATTGAGGGGCATATTACCTGTCCCAGCAGCCTCATCACTCTAATGTGCTGGGCAGCAAGAGCTGACTCTGGAGAAGGTTAAAGGCTTTAGCCAGAGCAACCACATGAGGTTGTTCACAAAGCTCATAAATCTGGGGAGTGCTGTCTGTGTCACAGACTGCAGTCAGTGTATGGCAGCGATCTAGCTTTAGATCACACGAGGAGGAGAATATGAAAACCGTCTTCGTGCAGAATACATTTGCAAGTTATCTGGTTTTTAAGATGCAAAAGTTATACAGTGATATAAGTCAAAGGGAAATTGGATTAGATTCCTTCTGTAGGCCTTAAGGGAAATGTATCTGCATAAGCCCACAAAATCCAAATGTAAAGACCAACTAGAATGTGATTTATTTTCACCTTTGTTGTCAGACTTTGTATTTTACTTACAGCAGAATTGTTTCCAGCTATTTTCCCTGTCTATGTTGTAATCTTGAAAGCAATATTTTGAAAGAAGATAATAGAAGACAGAAAAGGAGAAAGAGCAAAAACCTTCTTTGCTCTCAAGAAAATTAAGAAGACAACAATAACATGATTGTCATGTTATTCTTGGCTAGAAATCAAATACCTCACATGCTTTTTGAAAATAGGGAGTATATTGCATGGTCTAATTATAACTCGAATGGTTTGTGCTGACAAAAAGTATCTAAATACCATGTACTTCATCTTATTTTTTCTGTTTTTTATTATATAAAATGTTCTTTCTGATCAATGTATTGACTAGCCCAGGTTACATGAGAAAAATAATTTTTAGAAGTGAAAAGCATGAATTTAACAGCTGTCTAACCTTTGTATAGTTGTGTTTTAAAAGCCAACATATAAAGTTTACATTAAAAAACTTTTAAAAATTAAAGAAAAAAGTGTGTGTGTGTGTGTGTGTGTGTAATGGGTTGTTTGTATGTCTTTGAATGTACTGTGAAGTAAGATTCTTTATTCGGAAAAGTCTTTCTATTTGACAAGCATTCAGCAGATAATAATGGTGCATTAATGTCATGAGCAGGTGAAGTAACCAGGATTGTCAGCTGCTAGACCTGCTGCTGTCAAAGGTCTGCCAGCTCCTCCATTATGAAATGCAATTGTCAAGGCTTTATAATTCAGCTATAAAACTCTATACATATATAAAAGTCTGGACTGGGCCACAACCTGCCATGCAAAACTTCATCTGGGAGCATCTTTTGCAGCTGAACTAGGGACGTATGAAATATAAAGAGGGATTTAAGAGCTTTAGCTTTAGTTAATACCATACAGATGCCATTGTAAAGCTGCTTTGTTTCTTGTAGTGAGGGTTTAGTCTGTTGCTCTTGGTACTTGCTCATTTATACAGGTATGCGTTATCCAGGCCCTCATAAAAGAAAGATTTTATTTGTTAGGGTGATAAATGGGCTCTTTCGGGTGACTAGGTCACCGCTGGGTTCGGTGCACTGCAGCCTTGTTTTCAGGCATCCCAATGGATTCTTCCTGCTTAGTTGCTGCATTCTATTTCATTCTCTGCCAAATCGCGCAACTGCCCCATACTTAGAACTGGAATAAGGAAGCTCTGAGTATATGATGGGGCATCAGGATAATGCTACTTCCTGATTTGGGCAAGTTCATTAAAACCCCACCTATGTATCTAATTAAACCCTCTAAACTCAGCTTGATAAAGTCAAAGCCATCTAGACTCACAAAGATGTTACGAAAATCTGAGATGCTTAAGTGGTTATGCTAATGGTCTTAAATAATCAATATCATCACAATTCTTACTCATGTACAAGGTACATATTATGCTAAAGTATGTTTTACCTCAAAATGATATATTAGACATTTATTTCAGAGTCATCTCCTTGGAATTATGCCAGGGAGAACGATGTATCACTTGAAGGAATGTTAATTGAGCCCTTTCCCTGTGCCTGATGCTGTGCAGGGCTCTGTGGATTCCATGCATGAAATACAGAAGTTTCTGTATCCCAGAATATACAGAACAATAAATAATTACATAAGGGTGATGAATGTCATGACTGAGGACTCTGGATCTCATCTGAGGTCCTTCGGGGACCACTTGTAGGGTTATTCCCCCATGACAGCAATGCTTCAAGGAACAACTCCTTAATTCCTACATGTACTTGTGCTGCCTGTAGGCTATTTAGTGGAGTGTTTTTGTCCCCTGTGGGGTCACAGGGTAGCCTGACCTGTACACACAGAAGGTACCATCTTCATAAGATTCCTTGAGAGGGAACCCAAGACTCCTTTGGCTGCAAAATTTTAATCATCAGCAGGTGCTGTTAACTTTTCTTGCATAACTTGTATTTTCCACCATAGGAATCATGTCTCTGGAGAAGAAACAAACTCTATCATACCTGTTGATATTGGAGTACAGGAACTATATTTTAGTAGTCTTTATATTCACGTATGTCTTTCCCACCCCAGAGAGACCAAGAAAGGCCTCTCCTCTGGCTCCCTGGGCAGTGCTTGCTCAGATACACATTTGAGTAAGGAATGCTGTGCCAATGAATCCAAAAAGTCACTGCTAACTATATATATATATATTTACTATATATATAGTTAATAAATATATATATTTACTATACATAAATAGTAAATATATATTAATATGTATATATTTAATATATATAGTTAAATAAAACTAAATGTAGCAACTTTGACCAAGAGCTGGTGAAAATAATGATTGTATTACTAAGAAGGAAGAGGGGGTGAGAAGGAGAGGAGCCAACTTAAGGCATTTGTCATATGGGAGACACTTTTTCTAAATGTTTTATATTAATTAGCTCTTTTACTCATCATATCAAACTTATGACATAGGGACAAATAGTACACCATTTAAATGGCTTGCCCAAGATCAAGCTGCAGCTGGTAAGTGGCAGAGCCAGGATTTGAACCCAGATGGACACGATTGCCCAGTCCGTGTTCTTAACCAGTCTGCCAGAACCCAGAAAGAAGCCCAAATGCAGAGCTGGGCTCCCAGGACATGTGAATAATTATCAGACCAGCCTTAGAGAAGCGGCTGGATCTCTCGCCTTCTGTTCCTGCTTCTATAAAATGACAGATTTCAGCTGGATGATGCGTAAGGCCCCTAGAAACCCTCACATTTCATAGCTGAGATTCTGTGCAAAATGCACTTGTGTTGCCTGTGGATTCGAGGCAGGGGCCAGACCCTTCCCCCTTGATGCAGATTATTGCAGAAAATCAGCTAATTGCCACCTGAAAGGCTCAGAGAATCTGGTCTCTTGGAATAAAATTCAATAGCGGTGCTTATATTCAGGGGTCACATTTTCAAACATCATTAAACAAACTACTCACATAACTCTGTGGACTAGATAGAATCTGCTTAAACATCTCCCATAATAAAAGCCTAATAATGGAGTAATTTCTAGTATCACAGTGCTTCATTTATGGATTCTTTATTCACCTATTGCAAATGCAGCATAAACCGTGGTTGGACAGCTGCTTTCTGAATATCAGTATGACGTACCCTTGGACCCATCTTTGGAGAGACTCTTTCTGATCTCCCGAGGCATTCTCTATTACATTTCTTTTTTTTTTTCCTAAAATTTTAATCTCTATAATTACTTTCAGTATTTATTTGTTAACTTTCTTACCACCTGTCTCCGCATTGGAAGATCTATTTGGATAAGAACCTTTGTAACTCCAGGAATGTACATGGACTAAAACAGTATGCTTGCTCAATACATTTTTCTTGCAGTAATGGAGAAAATGACAAAAATGGGTGTCAACAGTGAGTGGCATCCTGTAAGTGGAGAATGTTCTAAGATAAAGAAATGAGAAAGTTCAGAGTCAGTGTTTTTATTTGTTAATTTGAGTGACAGATCCTAAGAATTGCAAGTGCAAAGGTCTAGCTGCCTTGCCTAGATATTGAAAAAAGGTATAAATCTTAACCTATCAGCCTGTTTTGAGCAATGATGTTAGGTCTTTATTTGGCTGTATGCTGTGAAGTTTAGCTAATATATACTACAAAGTGTATACAACTATATATACATATTATATATACAATATATCCATACACATACAAAATAACAAATACTGAGTAATTAAATTAAATGGAGATGTCCTGACTTTACTAATATTTATAAACATAATTGATCAGTTTATTGCCTTTGATATCTGTTTACTATCTGTTAGGATCCAAATTTTACAGTAGACTGAATAACATTTCTTAACTACTTAGAATAATACACTTCTTAAATTGAATATTTCTTAGCAAGCAGTTAGCTCAAATTTAGGTGTCTGTATGAATGAACCTTAAGAAAATATTTTAATGAATTAAATATATATAAGCTGTAAGCCCTCCCTTCTGGAACTTTAACCTAATGGCAATATATTAAAAGACCGACATTGGCAAAAGATGTATAATCAATTTTTCATAATGTGTTTCCCAAGCAGTTAACTGAAAATTGGATTTCTGGGAACTAATAATGACACCTAAAATGATGTTTTTACAATAATTTATCTCAAGCTACTGGACATCAGCATAGAATCTTTTTATTCCACAGGAAAATAATATTTGCTTTTATATGCAGTTTCCATAGTTACTACAGTGATTTAGGGTGAAAAAAAAGCTGTTTTTATTTAAGTATATAAAACCATAGTTTTGTATAAGTCTATAATATATACCCCAAAATATGTGTGTGTGTGTGTGTGTGTGTGTTGTTTGGGATTACAATGGAATATGTACGAACAAGTCCATGACAGCTAGAGTAACATATTCCAGAGCTAGGAGTCCTATTTTTAAAATAAATACTCTGATACTTCTCATTGCTTGAGCTGTGCTTGTTCTGGGACAAATCTTAAGAATTAAATTTTCAGCTTAAACATTTGAAAGTTATCATTTTAGCCACAGCGAACTCCTTCCATTTTAAGATTTCTGAATAGATGACATAAGCCTTCTGGTTAAAATGCCTAGATTCCCCCTCCATACATTTTAATTTGTGATAACAATGTCATTTATTGAAAACCTGCAATGTACTAAATGCACTAATATTTCTACTTACCATTTATATCATCTGCCAATGGCACACATGAAATACTACGAAAGGTACTATTACTCCATTTGGAGACTCCCCTATATCATATTAATTAATAAAACTAGATTGCTTCATTATACCCCAAAGTCTATACAAAAAATGAATCATTACCACTGTGTTTTTTATTCATTAATCATGCAGGTCCCCCAGGGCTTAAAGGAGACCGGGGAGCGATCGGCTTTCCTGGAAGCCGAGGAATGTCAGGACCAGCAGGGAAGACTGGGAGGCCAGGTATTATGATAATGTATATTTTCTTTATAGAATATGTGAAATAATCACCAGTTCATAGATACTATTCCAACTTCTTAGATAACAAGAACAAGGATCATCCTAGTATGAATAGTAGCCCTTACCTGCGGTATATTTAGTAGTCTGAAACATTTTGAAACTGATTATTGCCCCCCTGAGGTAAGTTTCTGTGTCCCAAAAGGAAAGAATTAAAACAAAAAAGCAGAGGATTATACTATGGACTATAAGTGAATCAGAGTTACTAATTTGTCTTTCTAGAAAGTCTAACAAAAGGGGGACATGAGGCGGAATTTTAGGAATGTTAAGAAGACTCCCAACAGTCTATTTTACACAACTTTTCTCTTTAAGTGATGAGGGAAGAAGTTAGAAATAAGCCTCAGAAGAGACATGTCAGTAGAGCACAGCTTATCTGATGAATGGGAAATAGTGTGCCCCGTTGACTGAGTGCCTGCGTGTCTCCCACGCGGGGCTTGGAGATGAGGATGCAGGACGAGCTCCTCCCCCGCCCTTCAGGAGCTGCCTTCCAGACTTTTCCACACAGTGATCTCTCTCCTAAAGTTTAATCAAAAAGAGGATTCCGTAAAGTTTATGTGAAGTATCTAAATCTCAGGTTGTTCATTTTGGGGGATTAAACAAAGTGGTTTGCCCTTGGATTTAATGGGGGCACACAGTTATTTCATGTATATTTTCTTTGCGCTCTGAGGAAGTACAGGGATAGCATAGTACACATGTATGTGCATTTGACAGAGACAGCGTGGTACCTAGTTCAGTCCTCTGTCTGAATCCGCCCTGTCCACGCAGTTAGTCTCTCTGTGCGTCAGTTTTCTTATCTACAAAACAATGCTAATAAGAAGACCCACATTTTAGAATTTCTTTAAAAATCAAGTCATGGTAAGATTTTCTTTGGGACTCTTTCTGGAACAATTTATTTATAACTCCCTACTTACATTAAATCATAACAATTAATTTTATAAATGAATATCACAGAGGACTATCAGTAGATATCTTAAAGGACTTCAAACAGTTTTTTTTTTTGAGGTGTTTTATTGTTTGTATTTTGGGTTAACAGCATGGTTTTTTTAAAATTTATTTTGCTTATTTGTTCTTTTTTATCACAAAGCAAGATATGTATACATGTTGGTTATTAGCTATAGCTTATACAAGTTTTAGATATTTTTCTACTCTGAAAATCCTAGAGTTCAACAAATGCGTATTAGTCAGAGTGCTTGGGAGAGCATTCCTTCATTCATTCATTGCCTGCCCCCCACCCTCCGACAACACAATTTTATGAGAGTTCACTGTGTGCTGGAGATAAATAGAGCCCATCTGCTGCCCTCAAGATCAGGTGACAGACAAATGCAGAAGCACTTAGCACTAATGCAATGTGGTAAATAATGAGCAGTTAGGAAGGAGGACCAAATGCTATGGGAGCAGAGAGTAGAGAATGAGTAATTCTGCACGGCCAGATGAGATAGTGTTAGGGCTAGCCTAAGAGATGCAGAGAATTCCTGTAGGCCTGTGGTTGGTTCTCTAGCTTCAGCAGGTGCCAGAATCCCCTGCACGGCTATTCAAACAGCTTACTGGGCTTGACCCCCACTGCATTGGATTCAACAGGTCAGGGGTGGCACTCCCAGAAATTCATTTGCAACCCAGGCTTGGGGTACACCCCTCCGAGGAAATGGAAAACAAGATAGGTAACTTGTGATGGGAATAGGATAACACCGTTTAGATTGAGGTGGAAGACACAAGGATTTCTGGGGTAGGGAGGAAGAGGGAAAGAAAAGGGTGAATAAGCACAAACCAAGTTGATTGCACCTCAGTTTTGTCTGCTCTTAGGATAACAGGGCATTTAATGCCCTTGTACATAATTTAAAGTAACATTTTTAAAGGATCTACACAGAATAGTGCCAGGTTTGTAATGGGGTTTCTAACATGATATAAATAACATTTAATATAATAATAATTATTATTATCAACATTATTATTATATTTGAGTTTCCGTAGGCTGTTATAAAGTGATATTCTAGATTACATTGTGATGTGCTGTCTCGATTTAAAGCAAGCATTATGAATTGCCCTAATTTGTAAAAAGTTTTTTGTTTTTTTTGCTTTTTTTCCCCCACAAGGAAATCCTGGACAAAAAGGCCAGAAGGGGGAAAAGGGGAGTGGAAGCAGGCCATGTAAGTTTAGTTTCTTGTTTTTTGTGTGTGTGCACCTTTGTGTTAAACAAGCTCTGCTAGCAGTGGTCTGGCCTGAGGCAAATGTTTAGAAAGAACTTCAGCATTGATCCACAGATTCTGTAGAAGTCAGCCACAGCTTTCTGCAAGTAAAGTATGTTAATTGGAGTAAAACAAATAGATTAAAGTTATACAACTCTTTGAATCTCATTACCCATTTGTATTTTGTTTTTGTGATGAGCACAATTTTCTAAAAATTCCACTTAGAAAATGGTTCAATTTGCAAGCCAGTTTCTGTCTGGTGAAGGAAAATCGAGCTTATAAATAGAAACAATTACCACCTCCTTCAGTAAACAATTGAGCTTCCCGAAATGCTACATATAGGAATCTGGACAATCTAAGAACTCTGCCAGACTAATTCTCTGATGGCTGGGTTTTGTGCTTTGTTTTATTTTACTAAAAACTGGAAGAGTGGTATTCTATATCCAAGACCTTTAAAACTGCAACAGAATAGATTTCACAAAAGGAATCTCTGCTCGGTGGAGGGTTAACCTCACATTGCAAGGCACTGAATCCGTAAATTAGGTCTTAAAAACTAAATGTTAAAAGAGATGTCTTCAAAATGCCATGCCACAAGGCAGTCATTGTGTCTTGGTTGAATCTACACAGATACAATGAAAGGATTATGAAAAGGAATGGAGATTCTGTACTTGACTTCTCAGAATTCACGTGTTCCTCCCCCATATTCTTAACAGGAGCTACATGTGATTACCTGTAAGAGGTCTGTTCTAGACAGATCGTGGCAAATCCTTTAATACCCCCAAAATCTAGCAGTTTCCCCATAATAACTATTGTTTTAAAAGTACAGTACCAATTTCTCTGCATTAACAAAAGTAATTATTTTAACCTAATACTGTGTGGGGGTGCCATCTTTAGACAATTTAGAGTCGCCAGTGTGAGTGCCAGGCATGAAAGTGTGGTGTAACCACATGACGCTTCCCATATTTGTTGCATTGTTGATCTGCTTGCCCTTGAATTAAGTAACACTGAGCCTTCCTTGCGTGTCTCGTGATTGCTTTAGTGTTATTTGGTGATCATTAGTGTTGTTATTATATTAAGGTAATAGAAACATTAATATATCTTTTCTCCTTTTATTACTTTTGTCTGCTGTATACTTTTTGCCACTTCTCCCTACTTCTCCTTGTCAGTCCATGTATTTTCAGTTGTGCCCATTGTATAACTCTCTCTTCCCTGCCTTCATGGTTTTCTCTGTCTTTATCTTTGGCTCTTCTTTATCACCTCTTCTCCTTTTCCTGAGGCTGTCTCTGAGCTATTTTGAGTCTGGTTCATCTTGGCAAATGCAGGACTTCTTTATTTTGTAGTCTGTAAACTGAACACACACACAGTCTTCTGTAGCCTGAGGTTATCAAAACATTTTTTTTTCCAGATGTGTTCAGAAATGTTTTCAATTACTAGGTATTTTCATGGCTGTTTGAAGTTTATGTGCATTCTTTCTTTCAGAAAGCACGATGAGAGATATTTCTGTGTATAAGTATATATAGCCTCCAGACTCCATGGAGTAGATATGACTCCATGGAGTACACATAACTCCATAATGTTTCAAAAAGAGAGAAATAATTACATACACAAACATCTATACTGTATGCTTTGCTTTTTACTTATTGAAGGTAATATGCCATCATTGGCCCATCTCAGTGCCTTTGGCTCTACCTTTTTTTCCTGTGGCTATGCGTTATTCCATTACCTAGCTGTACTGTAATTACCATAATATATCATTCATTTCACTAGTCATGAACACTAGACAATTTGTGCTTGCTTTGATTTGGCTTTAATATACAATGCTACATTCAGCACTCTTATACATGATCTTGTGGGAATATTTTTTAATAGAGAATTTTCTAGAAGTAGAATCAATAATTCAAAACTGACATGCATTTTGCAATTTGATAGATTCTTGAAAATGGCTCCTAAAAGGCTGTACCAATTTATTCTCTGTGAAAGTGCCTGACTCCCCACATCTTTAATTAATTCTGATATATAAAAATTTATGTTGAGTTATTTTAATAGAGATTCTTTTATATTTTTTAGATTAATTTAAATATAATACAAATAATAATTGGTTTCCTCTTTTATATACATGTCAGGACCGGTACCACTCCCTGATCCTATTAGGGCAGGGCCCTTTGAAGATCAGGTGGGTTGGGTGGGACACCCTCTGCTACCATCTCATTAAAAGGCCTGTCACCTCTGGACACGTCATCAGCACAGCTGACTCCAAGATCCCTTTGTGGCTCCTCCAAACAACCTTGGTTCCTGTGGTGCCCAGCTTCCGCATGGCTTCCTCTCCTAGGCCTGGGTGTGTTTTGACCTCTGTTCTTATGCTCATACGTCCCCCGACTCCAGTACCCCACCATCGCCCCCCCTCCCCTGACTGGGGTGCCTCACATTCCACCAACTTGCACGTTTTCCCAACCAGCCCTCAGGGCCAGGCCAGAGTCCTCAGCCACCTGCTCATCTAGTGCTCGTTGAGCCGAATTAACCCATTGGGTTCTAGGGAAAATCTTGTGGTACTGACTAGATGTGGGTTCTTTACACTCAAAAATGCTCTTCTCTCAACCAGTGATAGGGATAACGTAAGAAAATCCATTCACTTACTAATTCATTCATTCAACACATATTCATCCTGTACCCTTGGAGCTGGACCTTACAACGAATAAGCTAGCCATTGAGTCTGGCCTAAGAAAGCTAATTGTATTATATAAAACGACAAACTACATTGGAGAAAGAATATGGCACTATATAGGTGTTTAGAAGAGATCAAGATCTTTAAATGTCTTAGAATATTAAAAAAGTAAATTGATTTGATTTGATTAGTTTACCTTCTTGTCTTCTTAGTCCCCACATTACAGCATTTTTTTTCAAGTTTCATAGTGAGGTAAAGTGGAGCTTAAACAGATCATTCAACACTTTGAATCAGAGACAAAACTTTTCTTAAATTGCCTGGCTGTTTCAAACAAGAATTTTTGATCATGAAAAAAAAAAAAACCTGATAATTTTTTATTCCCCAAAACTCTTCGTCTTTTGTGCTACAAATAATCCAGTATAGATCCTGGAGAAAAATAAATATTTCAGTAGAACTGGCAATACTTTGTGAGGGTGCAGAAAGAGGCAGATCAGGAAAAAAAAAAAAAGAATAGGAAATATGTGGGATTCTATCTTATTTTTGAGTGTCCTCTATTAATAGATCACATTTTCAAAACTCCTCCTTCCTTTACGGTTTAACACGGAGTCCCAGGATTCTAGTAGAAGTCTAAGTAGTGTGCCTGTTTGCGTCTCACCACTTCCATTCCCTTCCTCATGAAATGGCCATTTGACACCTACCTCACAGGGTTGTTGTGAGGATCACATAAGATGCTGTGTGTAAAGATGCTCTATAAAATCATAAAGTGCTTTAAATATGTAAGTTATGGCTCACAGTATTCTCTCTGAACTGGAACTGCTGTTCTTTGGTGCTATAACACAGACATTTCAGATCTGTAATTAGAAGGAGTGAAAGCAATGAAAATATACGAAGCCAAATAAATGTCATGGACAAAAAGAGATATTCTAGACTCCAGACAATAAGATTTTACATTGATAGAACAATACAAGTGTGACCAGATCACAAATCAAGGCGTGTGAGCCAAGCCGAAGAGCATAAATTATAAATAAAAACACCAACTAAAGAGAGTGCATGCCAGAGGCCAGAAGCTGTCAACAGAGGTCAGGAAAAAATGTCAGGCTAATAAAACAAGAGTCCAGGTGCTGAAAGACAAAGCATGACCCCAAGACACTGCTGATGAGAAAGCTGCAGAAGTGCCAAGATAAATTAGAGCTGTCAGTGGTGCTCTGGGTCTGTGCTTGCCTGCGTGACACCACAATCTCCAGGAAGGGAAGGAGGGTGTTGGGAGAAATCAGCCAGTGTCAATAGTCCCAAATATTAGCAAACTGGCAACGCTGACTATCCAATTAATGGAAATGTCTGAAGACTAGTTGGATCTCTTTGTTCATGGTTTAATTGGGCATGACTTTGAACGTAATTTCCTAGCCAGCTCTCAGGTAGAGCCTGACGCCCCTTTCACTGGCCAGCAGGCCTTGGTCCCTGTTGGCCAAAGAATAGCTCATATCCCAGAGGTCCTGGGAGACAATCCTAGGGGGATTTATTCACAAGTTATCTGACACTCCAGGCTACAAATAGATTCTAAAGTATGTGAAATACTAACCCTAACTTTCCAAAATAGTGAAAAGAAGCTTCTCTTTTTAGACAAATTAGATGCTGAATGCCCATTTTACACACAAATTATACCGACTTTAATCATGTATAATGAAAAGAGTGCGAGTCTGAGTCGATCTCTAATGCTAGTCACATGGTTTGTCTTCTGTGTTCTCCGCCTCACTTGGAAGGGTAAGTGTTTCACTTGAGCAAAAGAATTCCTGCCATACAATTGAACACTGTATGAGGCTGTGTTGTAAATATACCTATTACTAATGTGTGGATTGTTTTACTGCGCTTTGCTCATGCCCACGAGACTATAACTAGGATGTTACTTTAGAGTATCTTAAAACTCATTGAGTGGTATAAACAATCAATTTGTCGTTCATTTGATGTCTACTGAAGACTCAACTAAATCATAAATGAACTATGGTCCTTCTCAAATCATTCGATGGACCAACGCAAAGCCTTTTTCTCCAATCACTACGTAATTATAATAACAAACATTTAGAGAACATTTGCTGTGCACCTGGGGCTTTTGATGCATCATCTCATTTAACCCTCAGAAGAGTCTTTGAGGTAAGTTCTATTATAATTCTCCTTTTATAGATTAGGAAATGAAGGTTACTGCTAATAAGTGGAAGAGCAGAAACTCAAAGCCAAGTATATCAATTTCCAAAGTTTCTGTATGTAGCTCTGACTCCATTCAATAGTCTCACACTGGTTTTAT